GTATCACAAAATTGCCCACCGATTCCTTTTTTGCCGTTTGACGACGACGGGTGTGCTTTCGCGAGAGTGACCGTTATTGGATCCGTTTCTTGCACGGCTGTTTTTTGTAACCAGTGGTTGTAAGTGTGCCTGCGAATTGCATTGCCTCCTGGGAGGCCGGTTCACCGTGTTCGGATGTCAGGATATCGTGTAGTTCTATCGAGAGTCTTTCAGTTTTTTTTTAACTGCAGAAGGATATAATTCGTCCTCTAATCTTCGCTCTTCGAAATCGCTGTGAAGTCATGGATTCCTTTGCAACATATCGGGAGAGATCTTTCTTTTATTGTTCTCTAAACATTCATTCCATTATTATATGACACATTATATGCTGGGTATGGGACGGTCCAACCAGGGCACCCGATTGAAGCGATTTGGATGGGGAGAGTGGAATTGCCAACTTCCTGTCGTTAGCAGATCGTGAATTGAAGGCGGGCTCTTCTTCCACACTCATTGGGACATCCCCTCGTGCGATGGCTTGTAGATAACCGGGTTGTAGGATTTTATTGTTGGAAGGAGATTCTCTTTGATCCCACGGACTAAGCGTAAGTGCATCTGCTTGCAGGTTCGCCCTCCGTTTTTGGCCCTTCATACAATGGTAAATTGAATTCAATCAGGTGTTGTACTTGAGCAAGTCGTACGAGGTGGACAGTCCGCTGTCTAATGATTGTGCCTGCAACAATGAGTGGTTTCCTTTACATACATACTTCTTCCATATTACTGCCGCCACTCACTCGAGGTGTGAGCTGGCTAAACTCGCAGGACAAGAGTGTTTTAAAACCTCCAGTGAGTTTGAGGTGTTTCAGCAAGCCTGCGTTTAGCCTTAACTGGTACACTTATCCAGCTATTTCCAGCTCTCTTAATTGGACCAAGATCTCCGAACATCTATGGACTTCTGCAAACTTCCGGTCAGACTCTGAACCTTTTCTACGAATTTTCCTGAACATTTGGGCAAAACGAATTTCCCTCAGTTTTTCAAAATTTCTTGTACTTCTATTTGCACTTCAACGAAGTTTTCCGATTTTTTACAAAGCTCTCTGAATTTCTACGAAGTTCTTAAAAGTTCTGCAACGTTCCCCGTATTTCTATTGAATTAGCTGTTCAAAAAAAAAATCTCTGACTTGTATGAGATTTTCTGAAGCTCTTTAAAATTCCCTTGCACTTTTACAAAGTTAACTGAACACCTGTTAACATTTGCTGCACTTCTACAAAGTTTGCTGAAGATCTATGAAGTTCTTCCAAGTTCTATAACGTTTCTTTCTTTTATTCTCGCTGATCTTCTACGAATTGCCCTTGACGGGGGTGTCTACTGAACCGGGAGAATCGGGAATTTGATTGGATCCTTATGTATTTTGTGTGTGCCTTATTCGGATTCTGCTAATAATTATTCTAATTATTGTTTAGTCCGGTACCTTGGATATTTCTTCGAGCCCAGATTTATTTACTGATCCATAGTACAGAACTACCAAAAATTAAGTATAAGTTCGAAAAAATTACATTTTCCAGAGTTGTAATTTTTAATATATTTCTTTTAATTTTAGTATCGGGGACACTCTCAAGTCCTTTTGAATCTTCAAGGGGGTTACGGCAAGGTGATGGACTTCCGTGTCTGCTATTCAACATCGCGTTAGAAGGTGTGATCAGAAGAGCTGGGATAGAAACGAGTGGCACGATCTTCAGGAAGTCCATCCAGCTCCTTGGCTTCGCCGATGACATTGACATTATGGCACGGAACTTTGAGACGATGGTGAAACGTACATCAGACTGAAGGCTGAAGCTAGGCGGATTGGACTTGCCATCAACGCAGCGAAGACGAAATACCGGAGAGGATGATGTTCTAGGAAAGACAATGTTAGCCTCCCACCCCGAGTTCAGATTGACGGTGACGAAATCGAGGTGGTCGATGAGTTCGTGTATTTGGGTTCACTGGTGACCGCCGAAAATGACACCAGTAGAGAAATTCAAAGACGCATTATGGCAGGGAATCGTGCCTACTTTGGACTATATATTATAATAAAATTCGCCGTCGCACGAAGTTGACTATCTTCAAGACGCTGATTAGACCGGTGGTCCTCTACGACCACGAGATCTGGACTATGCTCTTGCAGGACCAACGTGCTCTTGTGTTTTCGAACGGAAGGTGTTGCGTACCATCTACGGTGGAGTGCAGATGGCTGACGGAACTGGAAGCGAATGAACCACGAATTCATCCATCGTTCACATTGCAAAAATTGGGCGACTACGGTGGGCTGGGCACGTCGTAATAATGCCCGACGACGAACCAGTCAAATGGATCTCGAAAGCGACCCAACAGGAATAAGAAGAAGAGGCGTGTAGCGGGTAAGGTGGATCGACCAAGTAGAAGGCGACCTGCGGACCCTTCTCAGACTACGAGGCTGGCGACGTGTGGCCATGGACCGAGTAGAGTGGAAACGATTTCTTCGGACAGCAGAGGACAACAAGGCCTTAGCCTGATTGGTAAGGTAAGTAGCAGGTGTGGATCGCTCGTTATGAACTCGCTCGTACCTCTAAAATATGCTACCGTTGACAACCAATCTGAAAGCTGGATTTTTTAAGATCCAAATTAACTAATTTTACACTTTTGATCATCAGGTTGTATTGAAGAATAGAAGTCTAAAATTTTGAATTTTATTCCTTTAAAGCACCACAAATGTGTTCACTACTTATGGTGCTCATTATGCCCCTTTCCCTCTACCAAAAAGTTAAATAGTGCATAACATGTGTTCAAGTCACCAAATCTCATTGTTACGTTATTATTCTAATAAATCCTTGCCGTTAATGCAAAAAACTCCAATATGACAAACTACAAGGGACAGCCCTATGGGGTTGTACCATAGAGGTAACTCTAAGACCACTGGGTCCCGAAGAAAATCATTATTATTTTTGGCTCACTCAGTACCAGAACAACGGTCCCAAGCAGTCCCAAGCTATTTCACTCACCCCTGCATGTTCTGCATGAATCCACTCACCCCTGATGTTATCTGTCAAACTTTCATAGCGAATCAAAACAAACATAGTGTAGTAGTAGAATTTCAACTAGAATAGGGTACGTTAATCATTTGCTTGGGACCAATAGGCTACTAAAGTGGTGAGCCAATTTAAAATCGTTAGTTTCGTATTGATTGTTGAATAGGGTACGTTAATCGTTTGCTTGGGACCAATAGGCTACTAAAGTGGTGAGCCAATTTAAAATCGTTAGTTTCGTATTGATTGTTGGTTGTACGCAATGGTAACGTAGGACTACGTGGTCTTATATAATAAATCTTATTTGTTATCTGCAGCAGGAGCTTGTGTTTTGTGTAGGAATAGGAATTTGAGCGGGGTTCTGTTTATACGCTTACGTTCTGTTTATACGCTTTAGTATGACGCGCTTGGCATAGATGGCCCACAGCAACTCACGAAGAGCTACTGATTCCGATCAATAGCGGTGCGGTTTCTTCCTCCTTCTATCGATGCTCATGAGGCCGGATAGAATTCAACTTTGAAATCTGTGTTAGGGAAATCGCTTTTAGCAGGCAATCGGTGATAATTTTAACTATCATAGCAACAGTTGCACATTCGTGCAATTATCAATAGTGAAATTTTGAGAAATGATAAAGTCTTACATTTAACAGATGCGTAGAAATGTTGCCAATCGATTGGTGATAAAATTATTGAAATTGGTCCAGGGGCAGCTGAGTTATTAACGTTAAAAATCTTTCATAATGTTGTTACATGTTCCATTTTCGGTTTTCACAAAGTGTACCCCCATATAGAATTCACAGACGTAGTCCTGCGTCAAAAAATGGCTTATGTGTTTACCACTTTAACTCTCATCGGTTCATATCTCGATATCCCAGAAATGCTAAAGATCTACAATTAGAATAGCAGTGCTCTCAGCCTACGAGTCTAGAAGCTTTCTCTTCCGTGTTTCAAGAAAGTTTCTGTGATCTTTATGAAAGAAAAAAAAAAGAATCAAATTCAAATCTCATTTGGTTGCACAAAATTCTGGTAAAAAGTACAAAGAATCCATACTAAACCTTGTTCTGAATTGTTAATCAAAAGCATTTTTAACGTATTGATTCATATTTCGATACCCAAATCAGAAAATTTAAAATTAAATTTATTGCATACTAGCACTCATATTTCGTTTACATTCGAACCGTATTTTCCAATTTGACCACTTGATGAAATGTCTCCGCATGAAGATTCCATCAAACATAGTGGTTGGTAACAAAAAAAATCACTTCCTACAAGTGAAAGAAGATAATGCGCACCAGAGGTGTGTAAATGGACAATAAATTTCAGTGTTTGAAATGCCAACATCGGTTTTCGGGGACCTGCTCGCCACTTTCTCCCTGGTGCAGAGAGTGCTGTCTGCATTTACCCAGATTGATGACCATTGATTCCCGGGGATAGAAGTGGGACTTCTGTAATTGTATAAATTATGTTCTTTGAATAATTTGTTCATTCATTTGGTAGAATTCTTAGTATTTTCCTGAATCGTTTGTCGAAGAATGGATGATGTCTTCATGGTCACATTAAAATGTATCGAATATTAACTTAACAATTAATTTTTCCAACTTACAGTAATTTTCTCACTTATTTGAGATGTTCGGTAGATAATTTTCAATTTGACCTAAATTTTGTTTCGATTGAAAAATGATTGAAATGAATCACCCACATTCACGTGCAAGGAAACACTGTACTTCAGATAATTATTCATATAGATAGCATTGAGCACCCACAAACAAGATATTCAATTCCAAATCACAATCACTATTGAAACAATCACCTAACACCCGAAAAAAAAAAATCCCGTCCGAACTCCGCCCTTCACTTGCGACGAACACCCTGAAGATCCGTTTTTCGATGTTTGCATTTCAAACACAAAACGCTAATAAGGCACCGCCGCACACGGACGACGAAGGCAAAGCATATAGCGTTGTCCAAACTATACTTACGAATTCAATTCCAGTTTGGACCGCCTCTATAGTCTATCCACTGGGACTTATCACGAATTTAAAACTCTTCTTGTCCTTAAATGTTTTCTCAAATTACAAAACTCCTGTACCGAAATCTGCAATCACACACCGTTAGGATTCGGTTGGCGCTAGCGACACTGTTCAATTGCACATTTTCCCGAATTTGAAACGCGTTCAGCGCGGTGGCCAGTGAACGAGCGAATGAAGTCGTCTGGTTCGCTCTCGCATGGCGTTGGAGGAGTTATTCATCTTCATCATCCTTCGGCCGACAACATAGTAGAAGCGATTCGAAGCGATTCGATTCGTTGGCAATAAGCGGAGCGCTTGCGTGAAAGCACCCTCTATGAGCGTTCTATGGGAATCGCCCAAACCAGCCATAGTGAAAGCGATGCGAAGAGGTGTAAAGCGTTCAGCAAAGCGACAGAGCTGTTCGTGTTGTGTTTTGACGCCTTCGAACGCAAGTGGACTGATTCTAGTGAGGAAAAATGGACACCGAAATCGATTCGGAAAATCTGATTGCTCTCGTTTTTACGAGAAAAGCGCTGTGGGACAAAACATTGAAACAGTACCGGAACCGGTTGATGGTCGATAAGCTTTGGCGACAAGTTTCCTGTGAGCTGGGAGGAGAGGCAACAAGTAAGTGTAAATAGTGATTTATGTGAATAGTGAATATGTGATATATGAATCCATGCTGAATAACAAATTTGAACAAATATTTTGCACTGCGCGCGCGACTGTAATGTTTTCAAAAACGCTTTCACTATGTCATAGGTTGCTTCGCTTGCCGCTGCATTTCGCTTTGCCAATTGCTATCGCATCGAATCGCTTCGAATCGCTTCTACTATGTTGTCGGCCTTCCTATTTAGCACCAGCCAGCAGCAGCAGCAGCAGTAGGCTGGTGGTGTCATCACATGGTGGTGGATGAACACTCGCACGGATTGCTTGGATGGCGGCTGATAACGTGTTCCAGTGTTCACTCTCTCCCGCCGTGTGATGTTGTTTTGGTTCATTTTCAGCGCTGATGGGTGATCGCTTGGGTGGGAGTGGGATGGCAAGTGAGCATATGTTTTGCGTAAGCTCATTCCCATTCGAATGGTGGTTTCTGGTTGGAATCGCCTGCCGTGGAGTGTGGATTTGTTTTGCGGGTGTAAAAGAGAAAAATGGTGACTTGATTAGGCGTTCGTATCTTTTCATGCATAGTATGAATGCGACGAAGAAGGTGTGCCTTGGAAAATTCGGTAGAAATCGTTGACGATATCTGTGAAATGAGAAAAATATGTCAACCAAGGTAATCTGTGCCTAAGTATTCAGTATTAGAAATAAGAGTCGGTGGCTGTCTGTCTGTTTTCCCAACAAACATTGACAGTTGTATAAGAGCTTATTGAGACAAAAATAAGCTTCTTCAAATAAAAAATGGCTTGTTCAGCTATTACTCAGCTCAAATTGTTTGTTGGGTTGGCTATTAGCACTGTTATTTTCTTTAAGTAAAATGCTTTTCGTAGATCACCCAATCCTGTTGGACCCGTGGTCGTTCAGGGAATAATCTCAACGCTGTAAAAACTGGATATGACCCGAACGAGGCAGAAAAGTTCATATTCATATTGAAACAATACGCTGTTGGTCAGAGCGCATATATCCAGGAAAGAGTTCATTATTTTCCCGTTGAAAACTGCCCCAGAAATAGCTAATCCGGCTGAGCTTTACAATTACGTGATCAGTATTCAAACGGCAAATCCGTGGCTGCCTTCTGAAAATTTGCCCTATAGACGATTGGATATTAAGAAGACTGCGGGTAAGTTGTCTATACTTTTTAAGCACCTTGAACATTTTGTATTAATATGCTTCTTTGTATTATAGCAATATCATTTATAAACAGACAAACAGACGTAACTGTTTGAAAAAGTGAAACGACATCTATCGGGCTTCTCGCGGAAAACAAGCTTGCTCGCTAACTCGCAAACAATATTGCATAAAAGTTCTATAGAATGTATAGAAACGACAAAGTGATCCAATGCCAGCGCTGCGGCGAGTAGTTCCCGGAACTTATAATATTATTATTATTTATCTTTATTAGGGAGGCGGAACTTATAATATTCAAATCAACCGTTAAATGCGTGAACGAAGATGAAGAGATTCGTCTGTTTGTCTGTGATGTATAGATGCGTGGCTGGTATCGAAGAAGGTGAAACGAAGGTATCACAATGGAAAAAATACGCAAGAAGTTCTGCAAAAAGGGATGCCGTTGTATCTTCCGTCGGATCTGTGTGGAAGCTGCGTTGCGTTGTCAAGGTCAAGATTCATGATTTCGACGAGTAGTCTACTGAAAAATTGTATCCAATATGCAGCAAGTTTTTCGAGCATAAGCGCTTGGCTAAGCAATCTCGAGCTGATTACCAATACGACGGTGATGAGGTCCAGCCTAGCTGTGCTCAGGCGTGCTAGCTGTCGACCTTTAAAAGGTACAAACTGGTCAAATGATTGCACGCAATTTGTCTCGTGCGTTTATTTTTAGGTTATCCAGCTTCCTCGGATAGAATTGAGGCCTTCCGTTGTGTTTTCCCAAACGACAAAACGTTTGTTCCAGTCGGGAAGCATTCTCAAGCTTACCCTGTAGTTCCATGCCCTTGGGAAGAATCTGTAAGTGGACGGTCAACTAATGATAGAGCAAGTTTCTTCCACCGTGTAATTCAAAGATTCGGAGATTCAAACATGGTCACGCTTTGGCTGGATAATTGTTCCGGGCAATACAAACTGGAACCTAATTCTTTTGATGAACTCAGATTTTGTTCAGGGGACAGTTTTCATGCGGCAGTTGAAAAACGTATTCATAATAAGTGGGCGTTCCATAACTAAGAACCTGCTGTGCCTAACGTCTTACATCATAGACCGTTTGATTGCTCGGACCCAAAACGGACGTTATTTACACAGATCTTACGGCAGCATTCGATAAGTTGAACCACGAAATTGCGATCGCTAAGCTTGATTGATAGGTAGAAATGTTTTGAGATGATTTCGTTCATACCTTACGGAGCGCCAGCTGACAGTAACTTTGGGTACTTGTCGCTCAGCAAGTTTCTGCGCAAAGTCCGGTATACCTCAGGGTAGCCATCTGGGACCATTGGTATTTCTCCTTTACTTCGACGACGTTCACCGTGTTATCACAGAGCCACGATTATCGTTTGCAGACGATCTGAAAGTTTTTCTGCTGACTGGTGTAGTCTAAACCGACTGGTAGTCAACCCAGCTAAGTGTACAATCATTACTTCTAGACCAATAATTGAAATAGGCGGACCAACCAAACGTAAACAATGGCTTTAAACGCAAAATCCTCGAAAATCAAAGCACATCCAAACAACCTAACACCATCATCTGATAGAGCAACTTCCTTTATCGAATGGCATTGTTAGTTTACGTGGGAGCGTTTTGATTCTCGAGAATTTAGTGTTTAAAGCCATTGTTTACGTTTGGTTGGTCCGCCTATTTCAATTAATCATTTTGTCAAACTTCTGCATTCATGTTCCATCAGATGTCACTGATGTTGTTTGCGGTGACATCTATCGGAAACTACACACAATCTGTTTTCCTATAATTGTTCACCGAGGACACTGCAGAGCAAAACATGTCTGCTACCTCTATTATTATCTGGCATTTAGATTATTCTTCGAAGTCCCTCCTTTTTTACACATTCTGCACACAAAATAGTTCACCCCTCACAGATTTTTCCCGCCGATTTTTATGTATGGGGCGGGGCATAAATTATCTTTTGCGCAGAATATGTAAAAAAGGAGGGATTTCAAATGTTGAAGTAAATGCATATATAGAGGTACCAGATATGTTTTGTAGTGACAGGTACTCTATTTTATTATCTATGAAAGGGAAATCACAAATCGAGTGTCAACAAAATACATGGCATGTTGAGAGATTGAGGTCGTGAGAGCAAATTTTCTCTCTCAAATTTGAATATTTTGGCTCTCTGGGAACTGGTAGTAAAGCAGGTAAAACTGTGTGGGGAAAAATCATGTTTAATTAATTGTAGCTTGTTTAACAATAATTTCTCGAAAAAAAACTGAACGGTAAAGTTCCTGATTAATTTCTTTAGGTTGTCATTCACTTTTTTTCACCTGAATATGCACCGAAAGCGAATTATTCCCACTTCTCTCAATTTTTATATGGGGATTTTTATCACTTCCTACCAGCGGAACAGCGCCATCTCTGTGGAAAATGGTCGAACAAAATGATTAATTGTTGATCTAGACTTTCTCACGCAAGAATCAACCGATTATTTTCAACTACAAACTACTAGGCACGACTATGGAACGGGTGCATTGCGTGAAAGACTTAGGCGTTTTTCTGGACTCAAAGCTGGCATACTCACACCATATATCGTATGTCGTCGACAAAGCGTCCAGACCTCTCCAGGCTTTGTCTTCAAGATTATTAAGAATTTCAGACATTTACTGCTTGAAATCGTTCTATTGCTCTCTTGTACGATCTACGTTGGAATACTCCTCTGCAGTCTGGAGCCCGAACTACGATAATGTGGCCGAGCGAATTCAATCTGTGCAACGACGTTTTCTTCGCTTCGCGCTCCGTAAGCTGCCTTGGAGATACCCAATTCGGCTTCCAAGCTACGAGAATCACTGCCTATTGATCAATGTCGAGCCCTTACGTATCTGAAGAGATGTTTTCAGAGCCTTAACCGTCGTCGATACTCTGCAAGGAAGAATCTACTGCGAAGCAATTCTGCAACAAGTGAACATTAATGTTCAACCTCGATCACTACGCACCAGTCTTATGCTAAAACTGCCACTTCTTCGAACTAATTATAGCTAAGGGAGCGCTATTTACGGCTTGCAGCGAGTGTTCAACCGAGTAGCGTCGGTGTTCAATTTACACTTGACACGGAATATGCTTCACCGAAGATTCTCTGCCTTTTTTGCTGACCGAAGCCGCTTGACACCCAACAGCTAACAGTGTAAAATTTTAGATTTATACATTTTTAGTAACTTGACTGTAGTAAGGCTTTATTTCGTTCCAAATCTATACCACATGGTGCTCTCCATGCTTGGCATGCACAGTTGTACACACCAACTGCTCATTTGTTAATAACTTTTCAATAAGTTGTTGAAATTTGTTTTTCTTTAAAGTAATTGATAGATTAGAATTATAGTTTACTACGGATATGCAAAGAGTAGG